GAACATCACCAGGGTGGGTGACTGTACCACCTCTGGGGGCAGCCTGTTCCAAACCCTTGGCACTCAATCTGTAAAGAAGTTTTTCCTCATGTTGAGCCTGAAACAGTCTTCAATCAGTTTGTACCCATTATTTCTTGTCCTCCTCTGGGGGGCCTTGGTGAACAGATGCTCCCCCAATCCCTGATGTACGCCCTTGGTATACTAATACGCTGCCAACAAGTATCCTTTGAGTCTTCTCTTCTCCAGGCTGAACAGCTCCAAGTCTTTCAGCCTCTCCACATATTCCCTGGTCTCTAGGCCTCTAAGCATGCCTTTGGACTCTCTCGAGCTTTTTTCTGCACATCCTTCTTGAAGTGTCGTGCCCAGAACTGAATGCAGTACTCCAGTTGTGGTCTGACCTATGCTGAGTAGAGCTGGGAGATGGCATCCTTTGCTCTGCTTGAGATGCCTTGGTGGATGCATGCCAGTGTTTGATTAGCTCTACCAGTTATGGCATTGCATTGGTGGTTTCACGTTCATTTGGTTTTTAGCCATGACACCCAGATCTCATTCAGTTGTGGTGCTGGCAAGTGCAGCACTGCCGAGCCTGTAAGTGTGTTGTGGGTTATTTTTCCCCAGGTGGAGCACTTTACATTTCTCTGTGTTAAACAACACTTTTATTAACATTGTTATTAACATATCACTAGCAATGGAATAGAAGGGGTTTGTTGGACTCAGCAGTTTGTTTTTATTAGTCCTGCAGTGGCTCCTTTGTTCTTTGAACTGTGTGACCTCCTCATGAGCTCTTCCTCCTCCTGTTCCTGTTGCGTTTGAAATAGGTGTCCAACTGCCTTTCAGAAACAAAGTCACTGCTGACTTGTGAATCAGGCTGCAAACCAGCACGCCATTTCCACTTGCCTATATTTCACACTCAAAGGAATGCTACCTCCTACATGGGCCTGGAAATTGCTAACACATTTCCTGAAAGCTTTACCAGTTATGAGTCACTGTTTGCATCAATTCCTTTCTAATCTGCACCCTTGGGGCCAAAACCTCAGCTGGTTTAAATGGGAATTGCCCCCAGTTGAGATGGAAGGAATTTCACTTGCTGTGGATCTACCCTTACATTTTTTCGTTGGATGCGTTTGCAAAGATGCCTTAGCAGAACTTCTTAGTCTGCAAGTTTCGTGCACCCATTCCTGGGGTATTAAGACCACACAAGTAATACCTAGTTCTTTTAATTTTAAAAGCACTTTACCAACATTAACTAATTTATCTCAGGCTCCATGGTTTCTCAATATCTGAGTACCTCAGCATCCTTACAGTATTAATACTCACAGCCTCCCTGTGAGGTAAGGGAATGCTATTCTCCCAATTTGTGCAAGGCATTTTTCTGGACTCACTTTATAAAAGCACCTACATGACTTAGACACTGAAGTTGACATAATGTATTTATTTACTCCAGCTGAGGACCTGTCCCATTGACTTCAATGGGAGTTGGGAGCACTCTGCATCTCATAGGATTGTATCTTAAATGAGCAAGGGATTAGAACATCTTGGACTGGAGAGGCTCCTTTTTATTGTAATGGATCTCAGCAACTCCTTCCTAGAGGGTCATTCAAGTGGGTGGAAAGTATTGTGATACTGCTTTGCTGAGAGGAGTTGTGGAAAGCTAGAGAGAGAGAGAAAGATCTCCCACAGAAGTATCAAGATCAGAACGCTACCTGCCTTTGACTGTGATCCTATATGATCTCACTGCCTGAGCAGCCCAGGAGTTGGGTGAAAGACCTCCAGGATACGTACCCACCATAACAGGTGCTCTAGGGAATGCCACTAGGGCCAGAATTTTCAAAAGAAGCTAAGGAGGCCGGCAGAGAACGCCTTTTGAATTCCAGATAATTCCCTAGGGTCCTGTTTGAAAATCCCAGCCTAAGTAGGCAAGTTCATCTCTTCTGATTGGTGAAGCAACACCCTAGGCTGGAGACTTTAGAGGGCACAATGCTAGTGGGGAAACGGCCAGAAAAAAAGGGTTAAATGAAGGTACTGACTATTTATTGTGGGTCTCAAAAATGGCTAACTTGGATGTCTTGGTCAAATTCCAGCACCAGCAAAAGTCTACCTACTTCTATGCCCTTCATAGTTTCAGTTGGATAATGTACCCTCCAGTCCTAAACTCTTTTGCAGCATTGGTGAGTGCTGTTAAAAAAATCACCCATTCCATACTATGGATGAAGGTCTTGGAGCAGGAACTACATATTGCACAATTGATATCAGCAAAGCCTTTTTAGTGTACTGGGTAAAGAATGGACCAATTACATGGGATCATTTAAGTGCAAAAGATCCTTGCACTGATAAAAAAAATACCTCATACATTTAAAGAAATTAAAAAGCCACTGCTTTGGCAAATGGCTGAATACCACATACTGTGTATTTACTTAGCAGCATTTAATCTGTCTGTGGCATCCCAACAATACAAGCACAATTGTATTTTTGTATACGTTCTTAAATAAATAATATTATCTTAAATTGCCAGTTACTGTTATAATGGGATACGTTTATTTACTCTTCGTGTGTCTTGGCTGAGCAGCTGTACTTTTAGAAATGTATATGCAGCTCTTTTTTGGAAGCAATCTTGAAATATATTAATTACCAGGCACTTTAGGTTTCTATATTTTTTTTAGTATGGTACTGATGCATGGATCAAAAAATCATTCGATGATACGAGCACTTCCAATGTCCAGGTCTCTAGAAGAAACCAGTATTTTCAAAGCACCCAAAATCATCCCCTTGTTTAGTGATCAGCTGCTAGATTAAACAAATTTTAGAACAAAGTCACTCTTGGTGTGTCGATGCAAATACCTGAAATCATGAAGGGCCAGATCCTTCACTGTTGTGACTTGGCACTGAAGTCAACAGAGCGGCTCTGATTTATACTAGCCAAGGATCTGGACTAGTGAAATTTAAGTTTCTCAAGCTAGACACCTGAAAATAGAGCTGTCTGTAGAAGGCACATTAGAATCCATTGGGATTAGTCTTCAGAAATGATCACAAGACAGAAGGAGCCAACACATTTTAAAAACACGACTACAAAGCCAAGGCAAGAATGCAGTAAAATGCATAGGAGCCAGCATAGCTAATTTGTGTACAAGCTGTTTCAAAATAATTTTAACTTTCCCAAAATCTGGATCTCCCCTTGATTTTCTGAGTCACTAAGAAGACCCCAGAACTCCTGATTAACTCAGTCCACAACATTTGAACCCAAATTTCAGGTGACTTTCTTTTTTTGGATTTGGCTTGATACATTACAAAGACAATGCTCATTTGCAAAATGCAGCTCTGGATTCAAGTCCTGGATTGGAAAATCTCTGAGAGTTTGGAACTATTTGGATATGGGGACTTGGATCTGCCTCATGTCTGGTCAATATGGCTAAGGCCACATTCTCAGCTGGGGCCAGAAATCAAGTGCAGCTGCTGATTCTTTTATGTTAGTGGTTTTCTAGAGCACTGCAGTGCAGGGGAGCTGGGCATAGAAGCAGGGAAAGACAACAGAGCTTCCCAGAAAAGAGTTTTGAAGAAAGCTAATTAATAGTTTCGTAGTTTCATAGTTTCTAGGGTCGGAAGGAACCTGAGAAGATCATCTAGTCCAACCCCCTGCCATGGCAGGAAAGAGTACTGGGGTCAAACGACCCCAGCAAGGTGTTCATCTAACCTCTTCTCAAAAACCCCCAGGGTAGGAGCCTGCACCACCTCCCTTGGAAGTTGGTTCCAGACCCTAGCCGCCCTGACC